TTACATCATCACCATCACAACCACCATCCACAACTCATCTTACATCACCACCATCACCACCATCATCCACAACTCATCTTACATCACCACCACCATCATCCACAACTATTCTTACATCACCACCATCACCACCATCATCCACAACTCATCTTACATCACCACCACCATCATCCACAACTCATCTTACATCATCACCACCATCATCCACAACTCATCTTACATCACCATCACCACCATCATCCACAACTCATCTTACATCATCACCACCATCATCCACAACTCATCTTACATCATCACCATCATCACCACCATCACCACCATCACCACCATCATCCACAACGCATCTTACATCATCACCACCATCATCCACAACGCATCTTACATCATCACCATCACCACCATCACCACCATCACCACCATAATCCACAACTCATCTTACATCATCACCACCATCATCCACAACTCATCTTACATCACCACCATCACCACCACCATCCACAACTCATCTTACATCATCACCATCCCCACCATCATCCACAACGCATCTTACATCATCATCATCACCACCATCATCCACAACTCATCTTACATCATCATCACCACCATCATCCACAACTCATCTTACATCACCATCACCACCATCATCCACAACGCATCTTACATCACCACCACCATCATCCACAACTCATCTTACATCACCACCATCACCACCATCATCCACAACTCATCTTACATCATCACCACCATCATCCACAACTCATCTTACATCACCACCATCACCACTATCATCCACAACTCATCTTACATCATCACCACCATCATCCACAACTCATCTTACATCACCACCATCACCACCATCATCCACAACTCATCTTACATCACCACCATCACCACCATCATCCACAACTCATCTTACATCACCACCATCACCACCACCATCCACAACTCATCTTACATCATCACCATCACCACCATCATCCACAACTCATCTTACATCACCACCATCATCCACAACGCATCTTACATCATCACCACCACCATCCACAACTCATCTTACATCACCACCATCACCACCATCATCCACAACGCATCTTACATCATCACCACACCATCATCCACAACTCATCTTACATCATCACCATCACCACCATCATCCACAACTCATCTACATCATCACCATCACCACCATCATCCACAACTCATCTTACATCATCACCACATCATCCACAACTCATCTTACATCATCACCATCACCACCATCATCCACAACTCATCTTACATCACCGCCATCACCACCATCATCCACAACTCATCTTACATCATCACCACCATCATCCACAACTCATCTTACATCATCACCACCATCATCCACAACTCATCTTACATCACCACCATCACCACCATCATCCACAACTCATCTTACATCACCACCACCACCACCATCATCCACAACTAATCTTACATCACCACCATCACCACCATCATCCACAACTCATCTTACATCACCACCATCACCACCATCATCCACAACTCATCTTACATCACCACCATCACCACCATCATCCACAACTCATCGTACATCACCATCATCACCACCATCATCCACAACTTATCTTACATTATCACCATCACCACCATCATCCACAACTCATCTTACATCACCACCACCATCATCCACAACTCATCTTACATCATCACCACCATCATCCACAACTCATCTTACATCACCATCACCACCATCATCCACAACTCATCTTACATCATCACCACCATCATCCACAACTCATCTTACATCATCACCATCATCACCACCATCACCACCATCACCACCATCATCCACAACGCATCTTACATCATCACCACCATCATCCACAACGCATCTTACATCATCACCATCACCACCATCACCACCATCACCACCATAATCCACAACTCATCTTACATCATCACCACCATCATCCACAACTCATCTTACATCACCACCATCACCACCACCATCCACAACTCATCTTACATCATCACCATCCCCACCATCATCCACAACGCATCTTACATCATCATCATCACCACCATCATCCACAACTCATCTTACATCATCATCACCACCATCATCCACAACTCATCTTACATCACCATCACCACCATCATCCACAACGCATCTTACATCACCACCACCATCATCCACAACTCATCTTACATCACCACCATCACCACCATCATCCACAACTCATCTTACATCATCACCACCATCATCCACAACTCATCTTACATCACCACCATCACCACTATCATCCACAACTCATCTTACATCATCACCACCATCATCCACAACTCATCTTACATCACCACCATCACCACCATCATCCACAACTCATCTTACATCACCACCATCACCACCATCATCCACAACTCATCTTACATCACCACCATCACCACCACCATCCACAACTCATCTTACATCATCACCATCACCACCATCATCCACAACTCATCTTACATCACCACCATCATCCACAACGCATCTTACATCATCACCACCACCATCCACAACTCATCTTACATCACCACCATCACCACCATCATCCACAACGCATCTTACATCATCACCACCATCATCCACAACTCATCTTACATCATCACCATCACCACCATCATCCACAACTCATCTTACATCATCACCATCACCACCATCATCCACAACTCATCTTACATCATCACCACCATCATCCACAACTCATCTTACATCATCACCATCACCACCATCATCCACAACTCATCTTACATCACCGCCATCACCACCATCATCCACAACTCATCTTACATCATCACCACCATCATCCACAACTCATCTTACATCATCACCACCATCATCCACAACTCATCTTACATCACCACCATCACCACCATCATCCACAACTCATCTTACATCACCACCACCACCACCATCATCCACAACTAATCTTACATCACCACCATCACCACCATCATCCACAACTCATCTTACATCACCACCATCACCACCATCATCCACAACTCATCTTACATCACCACCATCACCACCATCATCCACAACTCATCGTACATCACCATCATCACCACCATCATCCACAACTTATCTTACATTATCACCATCACCACCATCATCCACAACTCATCTTACACCATCTCATCTAAAACCCGCGTACATCATGGACTCTAATCATCATCTCCGCTACGATGATGATGATTATTTGACGAATCTGCTGCTGCTGCTGCGTTGCGAGCACAGAGGCCCCCTGGTTCCCGTGGCCTATCCACGCTACGTCGCCTTCATTGCTGTGGGCGGAGAGACGGGGCGAGAGGGAGGTGCAGTCCAGAGACCGCACACACAGAGACACGCACAGAGAGAGACACACAGAGAGAGACGCACACAGAGAGACACCACACACAGAGACACCACACACAGAGAGGCACACACAGAGAGACACACAGAGACACGCACACAGACACCGCACACACACAGAGACACACACACAGAGACACACACAGAGACACACACAGAGACACGCACAGAGAGAGACACCGCGCACACAGAGACACACACACAGAGAGACACCGCACACACAGAGACACACACAGAGACATGCACAGAGAGAGACACCGCACACACAGAGACACACACAGAGAGAGACACCGCATACACAGAGACACACACAGAGACACACACAGAGACAACGCACACACAGAGACACCACACGCACAGAGAGCTGCGGGCTCACAGAAGCTGCCACAAGCTGCGACGTGAATCACCACCACGCACACTGCACGCGCCCGCTCCGAGCCTGACGAGCACACACACACACGCACACACACGTACACATACACACACGTACACACACACGTACACACATACACACGTACACACACACACGTACACACACACGTACACACACACACGTACACACACACGTACACACATACACACGTACACACACACACGTACACACACACGTGCACACACACACACGTACACACACACGCACACGTACGCACAGACACACACACGTACGCACACACACACACGTGCACACACACGTACACACACACGTACGCAAAACACACGTACACACACACGTACATACGGAAACACACACTACGTACACACAACAACAACAACAACCGCCATTCGCCACTAGGTGGCGGTGACGTCACCACGATGCTTGTGCCAGGCCAAGTGCACCTTGAGGCCACTTGAAGTGTCGAAAGCCCGCTGGCAGGAGGTCACGGGGCAGACCCAGGTGCCACTGGTCGACTGACCGAGATGACCGAGATGACTGGCTGATGCACCACCTGTGCCCCCTACTGTGCCAACTTGCTGTGCTTTAGCCACCCGGCGCTCCGCTCGTTGTTGTGAGCGTCGCTCCTCCGCCCTCCGTTGTTGTTGGAGGGCGACTGCCTCCAACTGCCCAGTAGCGTCCTTCACGAGCCTCCTCCACTGAGGCCGATCTTGACACCGCTGGTACCAGTCATCGGCAAGTCCACTCAGCTCCACGTCCTCCTGTACCACATCACTCCATCTCTTCTCCAGCCCGTGCCGCGCCCGTCTAGCCCCCTCGATCCGGCCGAACAAAAGCTGTTTAGGCATGCGGTGGCTGGGCATGCGGGCTACATGACCCAGCCAACGCAGCCTTGCCTGCCGGAGGAGCTCACTGATGGGACTTTGCCCAGATCTTTCAAGGATTTGTGAGCTCTCACGTACACACACACACGTACGCACAGACACACACACGTACACACACACACGTACGCACACACACGTACACACACGTACACACACACACGTACGCACACACGTACACACACGTACGCACAGACACACACACGTGCGCACGGACACACACACACACACGTACGCACAGACACACACACGTACACACAGACACACACACACGTACACACAGACACACACACGTACACACAGACACACACACGCGCTACTGCACATACGTGCGCGCGCGTGCCTGCGCGTGCGTGCGAGGAGTGATGCAATCTGCGCTACGACAGCGCCCCGAATGCACGGGCAGGAATCCGCTACGGGTCTGCGACTTGTCACCGCTGGCCGCAGCCTTTCGTGTTATTGCGAAGCTACCAACTAAGCACAGCAACAAACGCAGCAACACACGACGACGACGACAACAACAACAACACACCAGCGAATGCGCATTTGCCATTCTCAATGGGAAGGGCGTTCGCTTGGTTTCTCTTTAATATTCCGGGCACACGGTGGATGTGAACGCCGAGCAGACAGCAGGCGGCCCGCTCCTCGCCCCGTTACCCGCCATCAAGAATGCGCACGAAGCAGCAGCAACATCAGCAACATCAGCAACATCAGCAACAACAACAGCAGCAACAACAGCAGCAGCAACAGTAGCAACAATAACAGCAGCAGCAACAGCAGCAGCAGCAACAGCAGCAGCAGTAAAACAACCAACTCGTCTGTGGACCGCTGCGGAGGAGAGAAGAGCGAGCGATGGTGTCTGGCCTCGCTTCGGGAGTCGCGTCTCGTGATGGAGCATCGCCGTTTGGGATTTTATTGAGCGAGTGACGTTCGTGTCTGCCCCGGCCCGGGGAGCAAAACATTGTTTAAGAGCGCGAGAGAGATAGAGAGAGAGAGGGGGGAGAGACACAGAGAGAGAGAGAGACACACAGAGAGGAAGAGAGATAGAGAAAGAGCGAGCGTCGTGTGGGGATCGTTGTTTGGAAGAGAGCCAGAGTTGTAACAGCAGAGATAACATCATCTATAACACACCATCATCATTATCTATAACACACCATCATCATCTATAACAGACCACCATCATCATCATCTATAACACACCATCCTCATCATCATCTATAACACACCATCATTATCTATAACAGACCACCATCATCATCATCTATAACACACCATCATCATCTATAACAGACCACCATCATCATCATCTATAACACACCATCATCATCTATAACACACCATCATTATCTATAACAGACCACCATCATCATCATCTATAACACACCATCATCATCTATAACAGACCACCATCATCATCATCTATAACTCACCATCCTCATCATGATCTATAACACACCATCATCATCTATAACAGACCACCATCATCATTATCTATAACACATCATCATCATCTATAACACACCATCCTCATCATCATCTATAACTCACCATCATCATCTATAACAGACAACCATCCTCATTATCTATAACACATCATCATCTATTCTCCACGACACATCGTACGATCTCCACGCCACATCGTCGAGCCATCACCGTCAACTGTCTACCCCCCTCCCCATGCGACGCCATCTCTCTCACGAGTGAATCAACATGAGGGTCCGACTCAAAACCCTGGCGCTGTGGACTGCGTACACGTGCGCCCTGTTGGTGGCAGTGGCCAACGTGCTGGACATCAGGCAAGCCATCGGCCTGGACTGTGCCGGCAGCAGCGGCAGCAGCAGCGGCAAGAGAATCCGAGGCATCGAGCCTTGGAAACCTTCAGCGGAGGCGCGACTCGCCGCGGACACCGACGAGATCGGTGGCGGCGCGGACGTCCCGGGCGGCGACGCGTCGGAGGGCGACGGGAAGCAGCAGAAGACGAGGAGGAGGGGCCCCGCGGCGGAGCGGAGCGAGCCGAGGCCGCCGCGCGCCCAGCTGTTCATCCTCACCACGTGGAGGTCGGGCTCGTCGTTCGTCGGGGAGCTGTTTAATCAGCACCCGGGCGTCTTCTACCTCTTCGAGCCCCTGTGGCACGTGTGGCAGGCGCTCTACCCGGGCGACGCCAGGGTCCTGCAGGGGGCGTCGCGGGATATGCTCAACTCCCTCTTCAGGTGTGACCTGCAGGTGAGCGGGCGGATGACTTCGGACATCGGTGATGCGACTCGCGAACTGCACTTGCCCGAGCAGTCCTCTCAGCCTATGCGGGGCGATCTTTTGTCCTGGGCACCACCACCACCATGATCATCAGCAGCAGCAGCAGTCGCATCAGATTCGACAGCGTCAACTGCATTGATGTCATCAGCATCATCAGCAGCGTTAGCTGTCATCATCAGCCAAGTATTGTCAGCGTTGATTACAGCAACAACAGCAGTCTGACCATCATCAACATCATCGACTAAAGCAGGCCTCATATTAGAGATCGCATTTACTGTGTCTGTGTATATTACAAATTACTATTTATAATTAGTGCTCACTAACAACGAATGTCTATGACGCCAGACCTCGACAGCTAAGCAGCGTTGAGCCTGGATAGTGCTTGGATGGGCGATCGCCATGCACCGCGCCGCTGTCGGGGTCAGGGTAGAGGCCGTGCCGGGGGGGGGACGGCACAACACCATTGTTGTACTGAGCTTCTATGCTCCAACGTCGGTGAACGTCCCTGGCTCTTTGCTAACCCTCGCTGAGCGTTGTGGTGAAGTATGGTCGAATGACCCCCACGACCCGCGCGCGGCGTGGGCGTGCCCTCGTCCATCAGTGGATTGATGAAAGGGCTGTACTTGTACAGTGCCCCAACAGTCTAAATAGTCTATACACGGCAGGTTTTTCTATTTCAATAGACTATGTATATATACCCTGGTGCATATATATAAGACTCTGTGTCTATTCCTATTCTAATGCAGATCTCTGTCAGCAGCCAGTGTCTGGGGACACGTGCGCGCGCACGCAACATCAATCACCAGTTGGTCACGCCAGCTAAGCCATTGCAAGAGACAAAGATCCCCCGTATAGATTGTTGTTAACAGACTGTTGGGGCAAGTGCTGTTAGCCAGCACCGATGGAGACCGGTACGGCAGACGAGGGGGTGGGGTGGTCAGCACCACGTCCGGCCGCCTTTGTCTCCCCACTCGCAGGGTGAGGACGCCCATAGGGTGAGGACGCTCCTAGGACTGTGAGTGGTAGCGGCTGATTGGGGATGCATCCATCCAGCAGTTGATTGACCATGGCTGCTGATGACGATGTTCACGGTACATTTGATCCACTTGTAAATGCACAGAAAGCCGTGTTAGAATAACTCACGGCAGTTGCGGCTGTTTCCTTCACGCGTGGGGAATGAATGAATGAAAGAGTCGCCCTGGCCATCGTGAATGTGTTCATCACATGACCGACCGCTGCCCCAATATCCATGGGGTGCCATGGTGACTAGGAGATGTTAACTCCCTCGCCTGGTATGCAGAAGGTCGAGGGTTCGACCCCGACCCTGACGCCTGCTGCTGTATATTTGGAGTTTGCGGCGTCTCTCTCACATCATCATCACGGTGGCTAGGAGATGTTAACTACCTCGCCTGGTATGCAGGAGTTTGCGTGTCTCTCTCTCCCCGTGCTCGCGTGGATTTCTCTCCGAGTCCTCCGGCTTTCCCCTCCACGTTGAGAACCGACGTCACGCGTTCAGAGTATGTGGCTGCAATAAATGTGCACGCGATAAGCCACCTCGCTGAGCTGTCATTCGTGATAGCCAGGTCGCTTCTGAAACAAAAAGCTAATTAGCTCAGTGGGCCTTACCTGGTAAAATAAAAAGTGTTTAGTCGAACCCGCTGTGCATCCAGAACCTCCAGATGGAATCGCGAGTGGAGAACCAGACTCGACATCCCAGGCAACGTCGGGCCAACGATTCCAACCACGTGCCACAAGTTGGGCCCCCACGTGCCATGTTTACTGGGCTTGCGACGATTTTTTTTATTGTTACTAGAAACAATCACTTGCCGGTCGCGTTTCAAATGGCGAACGAAACAAGAAGAGGGCTCGAGAAGGCGCGGGGTATTTTCTGTGTTCGCAGTCCGCGCTATCGCGGAGCGAAAAATAGCAGCGGGTCGTGTGGGAGCGTGCGTCACGCGAGATAAGGCAGAGTCCGCCCCTCGCCACCACCATCATCATCATCACCATCAACATTCCACTGGACGGGTTCAGGCGGCGGTGGTGCGACCCCGGTGAAGGAACATGGACAGCAACATACTCACCCACACACTCAGCCACACACTCACCCACACACTCACCCACCCACCCACACACTCAGCCACACACTCACCCACACACTCACCCACTCAGCCACACACTCACCCACACACTCACCCACCCACACACTCACCCACTCAGCCACACACTCACCCACACACTCAGCCACACACTCACCCTCACTCACCCACTCAGCCACACACTCACCCACACACTCACCCACACACTCACCCACTCACCCACCCACTCACCCACACACTCACCCACCCACTCACCCACACACTCAGCCACACACTCACCCACCCGCTCAGCCACACACTCAGCCACACACTCACCCACCCACCCAATCAACCACCCACTCAGCCACACACTGACCCACCCACTCAGCCACACACTCAGCCACACACTCACCCACCCACTCACACACTCACTCACCCACCCACTCAGTGGCGTAGCTAGGATATTTTGCGCCCGAGGACGAACTATAAAACTGGCGCCCCCCCCCCCCGTTTAATCACATACCAAAATGTAATTACATGACATGTAGGCTGTGTGTGGCGGGATATATAAACTTTTAGGTTGAGGTGTAGATTTGTGCAGTAGTTTCAGGCTGCCGCGCCCGCCGCAACAAGTTATAATGTGACGTTGTAAGCCTCATTTTGGCGCCCCTTTACCTTGGCGCCCGGGGACACATGTACCCCCCTGCCCCCCCCCCCTAGCTACGCCTCTGCACCCACTCACCCACACACTCAGCTACACACTCACCCACACACTCACCCACACACTGCAGGTCACAAACTGGTGTCCACTTTTCAAAAGTATCAACTCCCCACGCGAAGACCGCGCGAAGAGGTTGTTGACTAGAGAAAGCGGCGTCCTGGGGCTTGGCTGAGCACAGCTCCACCGTGGGTGTAGCCGGGCGGTGGTGGTGATGGTGGTGGTGATGGCGGTGGTGGTGGTGGTGATGGTGGTCGTGGCGGTGGTGGTGGTGGCGGTGGTGGTGATGGCGGTGGTGGTGGTGGTGGTGGCGACGGCGGTGGCGGCGGCGGTGGTGGTGGTGGTGGCCGTGGAGTTGTTGGTGGTGGCTACCCACGTGGCGCTCGCCACCCGGCGCTGTGTAGGTAGCGACAGGGGCTGGCGGATCGCGCGCCCACTCGTGGAGTCAAACTCCCTTCTTGGTTGGGGTCGAGGAGACGCCGTACCCTGGCTCGCCTGCAGCAGGAGGAGGAGGTAGAGAAGCCGTGGGCTCCATCTGCTCCATCTGCTCCATCTGCTCCATCTGCTCCATCTGCTCCATCTGCACGAGGATGCAGCATCGCTGCTCTGGCACGCGCGCGTTTCCTCTGGGTGCTCCAGTCCTCCCCCCCCCCCCAAGCTATTGGAGTTGACCAAACGTCCCAATGTAGGACCGCAGAGCTCGGGCAATTGTTGGTAGCTCCCGGTTCTGGCTGCCTGTGGTTTCGCCGCACCTCTGAAACTACGGAAACCGTGTTTACTTCCAAATGTGTAACGTTAACTTGCTCCAGATCTCGGTACAAACCAATGCCTACCACCAAAACACAGATGCCAATTCCCAGACATCTGATTACCCCAGTGGGTGGATAAGTGGGTGAATTACTGAGTGACTTGGAAAATAAATGAGTACATTAATGAGTTGGTGAGTGGGTAAGTGGGTGCCTGAATTAGTGAGTGGGTGGGTGAGTAAGTGGGTAACTGAATGAGTGAGTGGTTGACCTAATGAGTGGGTGACCTAATGAGTGAATGGGTGGGTGAGTGTGTGGGCGACAGAATGGGTGAGTGGGTGACTAAATGCGTAAGTGGGTGACTGAATGAGTGGGTGAATGAGTAGATGACTGAATGAATGGGTGGGTGAGTGTGTGGGTGACTGGATGAGTGAGTGGGTGAGTGAGTAGATGGCTGAATGAGCGAGTGGGTGAGCGAGTAGATGACTTAATGAGTGGGTGGGTGAGTGTGTGGGTGACTAAATGAGTGAGTGGGTGAGTGAGTAGATGGCTGAATGAGCGAGTGGGTGAGTGAATAGATGACTTAATGAGTGAGTGGGTGAGTGAGCGGCAGGGTTGCTACCTTATCCACTGTAGTCCACATGTGGACGTACAGTATCTCTCAGTCGGCACGAAATCTGTGATGTGCTGCAGTTCACCGCAACAAAGTTCAACCTAGCAGCAGCAGCGGCAGCGGCACCACGAGATCGGGGTGCAAATCAATTCCTGCTGCCAACCCAAACACCGCCCTGCCAATTTCCGGGCTGACCTGGACTAAAAGCCGGGACTTGTGGCAGGCCTATTGGCAACCACTGACCCAGAGAGGGAAGCCGCCCCTCAGGGAAAATGTTTCCGATGTATGTTTTCCCTTTCCTGCTTCCTGAGTAAAAGAAAGAGGCCCACAAGAGAGGTGTATGGAGCGAGCTCGTCGCGCGAGTCGTTGGGATTACAAATCGGCAAGAGCAGGCGTCGTCAGTCAAGGCAGTGGCTCATCTCTCGCTCATCTCGGCTCTGTGAAGGCGACGTTTTGCCATGGGATGCGCCATTTAACTTTACCGCCGCAGCAACTTTGTTACGGCAGAAGCCACGTGAAGTATTTTCCAGTTGGTCAAACTTGCCTTTACACCCGATAATAATTATATAAATTTTACTTTTTTATTCAGAAAATCCGAAGGACTGTTTTTTTTTTCTCAAGAAGGCCCTGCTACATGCCGCTTCTATTTGAAGACTTTTCAGCCAGGTAACGATGCGTGCTTATGGATCATTGGGCGCCGCGGTGGCTATGCGATGTTAGCTACCTTGCCTGGTATGCAGGAGATCTCTTTTTTTCGCGTGAATGGGCTGCGACAATGAAGGCATCGCCCTTGACAACCCGCTGTTATTGAATGCGGGCGAACCCCAGAATCGCATCCCAGAATTTCAGCAGTTGCCTGGCGAGCCAGCACCCTGCCTCCAGGACCTCATGGCCACTTGAACTCTTTTATTAAAGATCCACTGTGGATTACTACACCGAACCGTGTCAGACCTTAGAAGCTAAGCAGGTCTTGATCCTGGACAATTCTATAAAAAAAATTACCAGGCAAGGCCCACTGAGCAACACAGCTCTTTTTTAGAAGCGACCTGCCCATCACACATGATGTGGAATCGCGTGGACATTCATAGCAGACAAATAATCTGAACGCGTGACGTTGATTCTAAATGTGGAGGGGGAAAAACCGGAGGACCCGGAGGAAAATCCACGCCACCACGGGGAGAGAGACACCACAAATTCCAAATATACAGCAGCAGGCGTCAGGGTCGGGATCGAACCCACGACCTCCTTGCACACCAGGCGAGGTAGTTAACATCTCCTAGCCATCGTGGGTAACAACGGCGGTCACAGGCTGCGGTGGGGGACCACAATCGCGGCGTCGCGGCCGCGCGCCAAGATCGGCGGTCGTACCACCGAGCGATCCTTCAACCACTACGCTCCCCCCCCCCACACTGACCAGCGTGGTGAAGTATGGTCAAATAACGCCCCCCCCCCCACCCCTGCCCTCAATCCCCCCCACGACTCGCAGAGCCGCTTTCTCTTTATTCGTGAGCTTTTTGGAGAATTCATTGCACTCCAGCATCTTCCCACTCACCGCAGTGTGGTGAGTGGGAGGGTGAGTGGCAGGGTGAGCGGGAAGGTGAGTAGGTAGATGGATGAGTGAGAAGGTGAGTGGGTGGGCGAGTGGAGTGAGAGGGTGGGTGAGTAGGTGGGTGAGTGAGCGGGTGAGTGAGTGAGCAAGTGGGTGATTGAGCGGGTGAGTGTGTTGCTGTGACCTGCTACACTACCACCCGCCCCAACTCACCCACTCCACCCCCCCCCCCCCCCCCCAGGTGTTCAACCTGTACGGCAACGGGCAGAACATGACGAGTCGCGACATCTTCCGCTCGCCGCTCAACCGCGCGCTCTGCTCCCCGCCGCTGTGCCCGGCGCTGGCGCGGCCCCGCGGGGGGGTGGCGGCGCTGGTGGACGAGCGCGCGTGCTCGCGCCTCTGCCCCCCGCGGCCGCTCGCCCACGTGGAGGCGCGCTGCCGCCGCCTGCCGCTCGTCGTCATCAAGGGGGTGCGCATCTTCGACCTCGAGCTGCTCGCGCCGCTCCTGCAGGACCCCTCGCTCAACCTCAAGGTCGGGCCCTTGGGTTGGGATGTGTGGGGTGGGGTGTGATGTGTGTGATGTGTGGGGTGGGATGTGTGGGGTGAGTGTGATGTGTGGGGTGGGATGTATGGGGTGTGTGGGATGTGTGGGGTGGGATGTGTGGGGTGAGTGTGATGTGTGGGGTGGGATGTGTGGGGTGGGGTGTGTGGGATGTGTGGGGTGAGTGGGATGTGGTGTGTAGGATGTGATGAGTGCGAAGCGACGTGTCCATGAGTGAATGCGTTGTCACAGCTACCAACTCCAGTCACCTGAACCGATCCTGAGCCTCCCTTAGATGGACTCAGGCTCAAATGAGTACCTCGTGCGGTGTGTAAACATCGCCACTGGGGAGACAAAGACGGCCGCGCGTGGTGGTGGCCACCCACCCCCTCGTGTGCCGTGCCGGCCTTCACAGGTGCTACTCACTAGCAGCACTTGCCCCAACAGTCTGTTCAGGCTACGCGGGGTGAGCGGTGAGCTCAGGAGGTGAGTGCAGTGTCTCATCAAGGTGCAGCGCATAGCGTGGGAGCATAGGGGTACAGTACAATAGTAGCTCTTGCTGCAACAGGCTGTAACTGCAGCCTATAGCACCTGCTTGTATGGACGTGATCTTCCGTCAAGCACTCAACCCTGCTGAGCCATCTGTGATACGATCTGTTAAACTAAAATACATCGAAAACTGTGTTATTAAAACCTAATTCGCCATGTTCCAGCTTCGAGAAGGCAGGGGAGCATAGCTGCGGCGTTGAAGTGCAGTACAACAATGCATTTTGGTCACCGGCCTTTTTTATTGAGCCGTTAAGGCCGCATTGAGCCCTCAGCGCGAAGTGCGTTCAAAGTCTCCGCACGCGGTGCCCACGCACGCGCGGTGCCCACGCACGCGCGGTACCCACGCACACGGTGCCCACGCACACGCGGTACCCACGCACACGGTACCCACGCACACGCGGTGTCCACACACACAGTACCCACGCACACGGTACCCACGCACACGCGGTACCCACGCACACGCGGTACCCACGCACACGCGGTACCCACGCACACGGTGCCCACGCACACGCGGTGTCCACACACACAGTACCCACGCACACGCGGTACCCACGCACACGGTGTCCACGCACACGCGGTACCCACGCACACGCGGTACCCACGCACACGGTACCCACGCACGCGCGGTACCCACGCACACGCGGTACCCACGCACACACGGTGCCCACGCACACGGTACCCACGCACACGCGGTACCCACGCACACGCGGTACCCACGCACACGCGGTACCCACGCACACACGGTACCCACGCACACACGGTGCCCACGCACACGGTACCCACGCACACGGTACCCACGCACGCGCGGTACCCACGCACACGCGGTACCCACGCACACACGGTGCCCACGCACACGGTACCCACGCACACGCGGTACCCACGCACACGCGGTACCCACGCACACGCGGTACCCACGCACACGCGGTACCCACGCACACGCGGTGCCCACGCACACGCGGTGCCCACGCACACGCGGTGTCCACGCACACGCGGTGTCCACGCACACACGGTACCCACGCACACACGGTACCCACGCACACGCGGTGTCCACGCACACGCGGTGTCCACGCACACGCGGTGTCCACGCACACACGGTACCCACGCACACGGTGCCCACGCACACGCGGTGTTCACGCACACACGGTACCCACGCACACACGGTACCCACGCACACGCGGTGTCCACGCACACGCGGTGTCCACGCACACACGGTACCCACACACACACGGTACCCACGCACACGCGGTGTCCACGCACACGCGGTGTTCACGCACACGCGGTGTTCACGCACACACGGTACCCACGCACACGCGGTGTCCACGCACACGCGGTACCCACGCACACGGTGCCCACGCACACGCGGTGTTCACGCACACACGGTACCCACGCACACACGGTACCCACGCACACGCGGTGTCCTCGCACACGCGGTGTCCACGCACACACGGTACCCACGCACACGCGGTGTCCACGCACACACGGTACCCACGCACACGGTGCCCACGCACACGGTGCCCACGCACACGCGGTGTTCACGCACACGGTACCCACGCACACGCGGTGTTCACGCACACGGTGCCCACGCACACGCGGTGTTCACGCACACGGTGCCCACGCACACGCGGTGTCCACGTGCACGGTGTTCACGCACACGGTGCCCACGCACACGCGGTGTTCACGCACACGGTGTTCACGCACACGGTGCCCACGCACACGCGGTGTTCACGCACACGGTACCCACGCACACGCGGTGTCCACGTGCACGCGGTGTCCACGTGCACGCGGTGTTCACGCACACGGTACCCACGCACACGGTACCCACGCACACGCGGTGTCCACGCACACGCGGTGTCCACGTGCACGCCTCGGCCGCTGGCGCGGGCTAAGACTGTCGTGCGACGACGTGGAGGTGCGAACGTCGTAAACGATGCACGAGATGCCACCCCCCCCCCCCCCCCCGTGGGCGCCGCGGTGGCTGTGAGATGTGAACTCCCTCGCCTGGTACACAGGAAGGCGTGGGTTCGATCCCGATTCTGACGCCTGCTGCTGTCAATTTGGAGTTTGCGGTGTCTCCCTCCCCGTGGTCGCGGGGAGTTTTTTCCGGGTCCTCCGCTTTTCCCCTCCACATTTATAATCAACATCACGCGTTCAGAGTATTTTGCTGCTGTAAATGTCCACGTGGTGGCGATGATAAACCCCCTTCGTTGAGCGACCATTTGCGACAGCCAGGTCGCTTCTGCAAAAAGAGCTGTAGAGCTCAGTGGGCCTTGCCTGGCAAAACAAAAAAATAAAGTTTCTAGTTCAGTTTTTAGTGAAGCAAAAGTCGGTGCGACATTTGGCTTGGAGACGGCCACAGCCACTCGCGCTGCCCGGCTCAAGCAGCAGTCCGGTCGCAATGCGCCGGCCGGACGAGACGGCATGATCACCCTCACTGCCTCCCACCTGCCTGGCTGCTGGAGCGTCACCCCCCCCCACCCTCGATGCCACTCGCAGGAGGAGGCCGTTGTGTGCCGGCGTCAGGGGTCCAAAGTTTGGCAAGTTCGAAAATTGACACCGCAAACCACTCAATTGGGACGATACACAGCAGCAGCAGCAGGAGCAGCAGCAGGAGCAGCAGCAGGAGCACGATCAACCATTGCCCCCTACTGGCAGCAGGCGAATGCGCCAGGTCACCGTTGCAAATCGGACTCGTCCCGGTCATGCAACTCGAACGTTAATTTGACTATTTACACTGCGTGTGTGTGTACCGTGTGTTGAACTTCTGTCGCACCGTACGTAGCGGACCGTGCTCAGGGGAGATGCGTGTGTTTGTCGGGAGTGGTGGGACAGTGGTTAGCGCAGTGCACTACATACTGCAGCCATCTGGCTTTGATTGCCAGTCACAGAAAAAAGACAAAGATCGCCCTGTATAGCCTCAACCGTCTGTTGGGGCAAGTGTTGTTAGCGAGCACCTAATGAAGGCCGGCACGGCACACGAGCGGGTGGGTGACAAGCACCACGCCCGGCCGCCTTTTTCTCCCCAGTGGCGATGTTCACACACTGCACCATTTAATCATTTGAGGCTGAGTCGACCTATGGGAGGCCCCGGATCGTCACTGGAGATGGCCGTGGGCTGGAATTGAAACGCGGGTGGCCGGGTTCGTAGCGCATCGCGCTAACCAACAGCACCACCGCTCCCCACAGCGAACACAGTGTGAGTGGCGGGTGATCCCCAACGGGTCGTGGGCTTCCCAAGGTCAGCTCAGCATCGGGTGCAGCGCGTTCACACGTGGGGCTCTGGGGGAGACACGGGTGGCTGGCCAGTAGGTGTATCACCTGTCCAGGTTTTATCAGGTGGGGTTGTCACCTGCGGGGATTGGCAGCCGTGTTCGGGTGACGGCAGGGAATCATTTGTAGCGAGATGCGGCAGCGGTGCCGTTGCTGCGTCGGACTTCACCGCAGGAGACGGCGGTGCACGGTGTTGATGATGGACCGAGCGAGCTGCCTGGCAAGCGCCCCCTGGGTGTGGTGGGCAAAGGCGGCGAGCCGGCCGGACGTGGCGCTACCCCCTCCCCACCACCCCCGCCTTGTGCGCGTCGTTCCACACTTGCCCCGCCAGCCTGTCTCGGCTACACGGGCGCATTTGTCTCCGCGCGGCGATGATGAATCGGCGTCGAGCGCCGTGCCGCCAGCCGCGCTGCCGCGGTCGTGGGCGGCCGCGCGGAGTTGGTGGGCGGCGCTCCTCTGCGCAGGCGGTGGCGCGCGTGTCGAGGGTTTACTGCTGCGAGCGCCATCGCCGCGTGATGGTGGAGGGAGGAGGGAGGCTCGGCAGGGAGGCAGAGAGACGGAGAGGTGTGACCGGCAGGCGGAGAGCAGGACACGCACCACGCAGGCTGGATGGCAGTGTTCATGCGCTGCGCTACGCGAGAGAGAGAGAGAGGCACATCTCAGATGTTATTGTGTTCATCCTCGCCGAGTTGCATTCTTGGCGTCGGGATGCCGAGGTCGCACTCGTTACATACAAAGTGCGAGCCACAGATGGGCCGCAATACCTCGCTGATCTCGTCAAGGGGCGTAAACAATCATCAGGCGAAACTCCGGGCCATCCTCGCAGCACCGAACGAAGGTGGTCACGGCACCGCGCGCTTTCAGGTGCGCTTCCGCGGCCGTCTGGAACGCTCTTCCTTCCGATATTAGGACACCGCTGGAACTATGCACTTTTTAATCATCTAGATTGAAAACGCATTTCTTTAGAACTGATTTTTGTGTTTAGATTGTTGTCTTTTCCCCGCACCTCCGATTAGCACGATTGGCTACGTACGGTGCAAAAGAAGTTCAACGTACATACACAGACGGCATTCTTGAGCTAGAAACTTCCCAAGGTGTGGAGGTTCCAGAATGTTTCGATTCCTGCTCACGGCCAACACCAGTGACGATTATCTGAACCGGTCCTGGGCCTCCCCTAGATCGACTTAGCCTCAAATGAGTACCTGGTGCGTTGTGTAGTAAACATCGCCACTGGGGAGACAAAGGCGGTCTATGGTGGTGCTGGCTACCCGACCCCTCGTGCGCCGTGCGGCCTGTATAGGTGCTCGCAATCAGCACTTGCCCCAACAGTCTGTCAAGGCTACACACCATTGTCTTTGCGTTATAACGTCTGTCGCACCCCCTCTTCCAACACGTCCCCACGCACCCCCCCCCCCCCCCCGCGGGCCCCCCAGGTGATCCACCTGGTCCGAGACCCACGCGCGGTGGCCAGCTCCCGTCTCAAGTCCAAGCACGGCCTCATCCGCGAAAGCCTCCAGGTGGTGCGCTCGCTGCGGCGCGACAAGTCCCAGCACCAGCACCACCTCCTGCGGCGCTCCCACCACCCGCTCGGCGCGCCCGACGACGCCGACCCGGCGCCGCCGCCGCCGCCAGGGTCGTCGGGCCGCGAGCGCCGCGCGCCGGGAGGCCCCTCGCACCCCAGCGAGCTCAACGCCCTCGCCGCCATGGGGCCGATCTGCGCGTCGACGGAGCGCGCCGTGGGGGCGGCGCTGGCGTCTCCGCCGTGGCTGCGCGGCCGCTACATGCTGGTGCGCTACGAGGACGTGGTGCGCTCCCCGCTGCGCTCGCTGGGCGCCATGCACGCCTTCGCGGGCCTGCGCCCCGAGCCGGCGCTCGGCGACTTCGTGCTCCGGATGGTCGGCGGAGGAGGAGGCAACCGCTCCTCGGCGGCGGGGGGCGGCGACCCGTTCCGCGTGGGCTCCATGGACGCGAGGGCGGCGCTGGGCGAGTGGAGGACGCGCCTGGCCGTGCAGCAGGTGCGCCACGTGGAGGAGAACTGCCGCGGGGCCATGGCGCTGCTGGGCTACGTGCCCGTGCCGGCCGGCGCGCGCTCGCTCGGCCAGACGCTGCTCGCGCCGCTCGACTTCACGTACGCGTGAAGGCGTCGGGAGGCGCCGTGGGGCCGTTTGTTGTTGCTGCTGTTGTTGTTGTTGATGCTCCTGCTGTTGTTGTTGTGGTGCCCGTGCCGTGTGCCGAGTGTCGACGGGTAAGGGAGCGCGTTCGGCTCAGATGCCCCACGCCGGCAACTCGAAGCACCTTGCCTCATCGCATCGTCTCATCATCCATCATCTCATCACCTTATCCATCATCTCATCATCGCATCATCGCGACCCGCTACACTGCCCTGCTGCAGTCTCGTCAAAGGGAGCCCCCAGCAGTAGCCATCCCTACGCGGCATGTAGACAACTCGCGTAGATATCCATGGGATTTTAGAGACCCGTAGACTCATAGAGATCCATAGACTCACACAGGACCCACAGACTCACACAGAGACCCACAAACTCACATGGGGGAGCGTAAACTCGCACAGAGACCCACAGACTCGCACAGAGACCCACAAACTCACACAGAGACCCACAGACTCGCACTGAGGCCCACAGACTCACACTGAGGCCCACAGATTCGCACAGAGGCTCACAGACTCGCACTGAGGCCCACAGACTCGTACAGACACCCAGACTCACACAGAGGCCCACAGACTCGCACAGAGGCCCACAGACTCGCACTGAGGCCCACAGAGTCGTGCATACACCCAGACTCACACAGAGGCCCACGGACTCGCACAGAGGCCCACAGACTCACACAGAGGCCCACAGACTCGTACATACACCCAGACTCACACAGAGGCCCACAGACTCGCACAGAGGCCCACGGACTCGCACTGAGGCCCACAGACTCGCACTGAGGCCCACAGACTCGCACTGAGGCCCACAGACTCGCACAGAGGCCCACAGACTCGCACAGATAGCCATAGGTAAGCATGCATGGACAAGCATTCATAGAATGCTTCAATGCCCCCGGAAACTCCAAGCACCTTGCACCTCATCTCAACCATTCCTGTGCCCTGCTGCGGCCCAGCCAGGGGTAGCCCCCCCACCGCCCCCTCCCAATGGCACAGTTGTCCACAACACTGCCTTGAGAATGGACATTCGTCAGCTGGTAGGGGGGCGACGTTGCTGTGGGGGTTTCCCCTCCCTCATCGGTGATTTGCGAGGAGTTCGAGGCGCTACTCGGATCGACCGGCGGCCGTGCGGTCGCTGGTCAGGGGCGCAGGAGCGGCGCTCCGCGACAAGGCGAGCCGCGGAACGACTCGTTCTGCGGTCCCTTCGCGTGACCTCTCGCCCGCACACTCGTAGAGGGGGACGAGAGGGCAGCGCCTTCATCGCGCGCGCTCCCGACGGGGGGATGTTCGCCGCGTGACGCTCGCAACCGATGTCATTTCATCTCAGAGATGATAGAATCGAGGCAACGTTTACTGCGGAGCCAGATTTAATTGTGATGCAGTGTCTCCTTCTGCTTTTCGTTGCCGACCCCTGCATGAGGAACGTGTGCCGAGTAACGACGAGACGGAGTGATAACAATATGGGATCACCACTGCCAAGCCATCCTGCCGTGGTGTAATCATCGTGAGCACACCGCAGTCGCGGTCCAGACGGCGCCGGTTCCGGCCTCCCGGCGCGGCAGTTCAGACCAAGTCCACCCAGCGGTCGATATTGCTGCGTCGCAGTGAGGTTACGTGTGGGTGGTGGGGGTGAAGTGTGGGTACCCCCGCCTCTTCCGCCAAGGTGTACCGTAGTGTTCTTGACTGATTTTCAGAGGGGGGCGGTGGGGGGGTCACTGTCGCCGACAAGACATCGTCAGTGCGAGGGGCCATTGCTGGGTTTGACAGCAGCACGGTGATGATGATGATGATGACGGGGTCGCGGTGGTGCTCTCACTCCCCGTGTATTGTCGGGGGCCGCACTGGAGGCCACTCGGGGGCCGTCAGTGGCCCGCGGTTTGTGTGCAGTGGCCAGCGTGGGAGAGTAGGCCTCAGCGCCTTCTCGTCCGAGGCCGTGCGTCTCCAGCAGGGCCGCCAGCAGGCATCTGCGGGGCTGCTCCTTTGCCGCTTCTAATTTGATTCGAGCAACGCGACCCTCGCAACGGATCGCGAGCCCAGGGCGCCGTGAGCGCCGTGAGCTGTCGGAGACTGCCGAAGTTGCAGCTTCATCAGCAGGTCTTCGTGGTTGGGGTTAGATCGCGTAAGTATAAATGTGTCGTTAACCCACCACCACCCGACACAGCCAATGAGTGAGGTCTGTGATGTAAACAAAACGTGCCAATTTGTTACGAGTTCAGCACGCCGGTGTGTTGGAGAGTAAACCCACGACATGTACAATGTGAGTAGTGCGACGTTTCGCTGGTAATTACAACAACCAGCTGCATCAGGCGACAGCCAGAAATATGAAGAAGTCGTCATTACTAAGAGGCACGTTTTGTTTACTTGACGAACTTCACCAGTTGGCTGTGTCGGGTGGTGGCCTGTTCACGACACATTTATATATTTACTCGATCTAACCCCAAATAACCTTTATTATGGATAATGTTGGTCGCGAAATCCGGCTACGTGTTAAAGATGTTGCTGGTTCATGTGCAATGTTCAGTGGCATTTTAAGATCTTACCACTTGTGTTCATACGTTTACTTTGTTGTGTTTGAGGAGGCCGTTAAGTTACATTGTATTTGTTTTAACTTGGCTGTTTTAGGACAAATGTGAAAAATAATGTAAACAAACATGAACACGTATAATAAAGAGTATATTAATTGAAAAAATGCCGCCAGGATCTTCACTGTGTGATTATCAACCTGATTTTCTTTTCAATATTCAGTACCGGTCACAGTTCAAACAAACGTGTCCATGCTCTGTCAAGCTGCCCGATTTCTGTGATCAAATATAATCGGCGACACTTCTGGCAATGCCACTTCTTTACGAGCTATGAAGAATGGCCGTTGTCCGAAACGTCATCTATTATATATTTATTGAATAGTTCCGTTAACGGAAGTGAATTGGAGGTGATTTCGAGATGACGTCACCATCCCGTGGCTAGCCAGGATATGGCGGTACACAAAGTGTAGTGACGAAACTCCACGCGCGTTTTAGTTTGCCAGGTACGGAGCTGCTGGGTGTGATCGCTGGCGAAACGTCCGCCTCGAACTGTGAACGTCGTGGGTTTACTCCCCAACACACGAGCGGCGTGCTGAGCTAATCACGAACTGGCACGTTCTGTTTACGTGGCAAACCTGACTAATAGGCTGTGTCGGGTGGTGGTGGTGGTGGGTTTAATGACACGTTCATATTTACGCGATCTAACCCCCCCAACAACCCCCTCTATTATGGATATTGGTCGTGAAAACCTCGTCGCGTGGAAAGCTGCGAGGATTGCGCCGCACTGCACGGGACGTGCAATCTTAGACCCCACCTGTGCACCTTTCCAGGATTAAACAAAGCGTGCTGCTGGACCCAATCTGTTAGCACGTGGATTGCATAACGAACCTGGCAGGCAATGCAGTAGGCCCCTAACGCACAGTTTTGTTCGCTAAACAATCGGGGATTGTTGTGTATCGAGTTTATATCGTCGTGTCGTTATTGTAACCCGCAACACACACACGCTGGGTAATCCGCAAACACGGAGGCGCGTAGATGAATATGTTCTGAGCCAATACGAGGTGTTGATACTTGTGGGAGGAAACCGGAGCACCCGCGTGCGAGGGGGCAACACTGGATCCCACCACACCGATTGTTGGGTGATGCTGTTGCGTTGGTAGCGGCGCACAAACACATTTAACTTAACAACAGTGGTCTTATAACACCTTTAGAATAGTTGACGCTTCGGGATGTATAGTCTTTCCACACGAGGTATGTATGTACGTATAACTTATTTCGCACCGTACGTAGCCAACCGTGCTAATCGGAGGTGCGGGGGAAGGACAACAAACTAAACGCGAAAAGCAAATCTAAATCAATACGTTTTAAATCGATTTAAAAGTGCATAGCTCCCAGTGGCCTCCTATTACCGGAATGAAGAACTTTCCAGACGGCCACAGAAGCGTATCTGAAAGCGTGCAATGCAGTGACCATCTTTGTGTGATGGTTAGCAAAAAGCCACCACTACGAGGGTGTCTGCGTGATGGTGAATGCCCCGTGACGAGGGTGTCTGCGTGATGGTGAATGCCCCGTGACGAGGGTGTGTGCGTGGTGGTGAATGTCCCGTGACGAGGGTGTCTGCGTGATGGTGAATGCCCCGTGACGAGGGTGTGTGCGTGGTGGTGAATGTCCCGTGACGAGGGTGTCTACGTGATGGTGAATGACCCTTGACGAGGGTGTGTGGATGATGGTGAATGCCCCGTGACGAGGGTGTGTGGGTGATGGTGAATGTCCCGTGACGAGGGTGTCTGCGTGATGGTAATTGCCCCGTGACGAGGGTGTGTGGGTGATGGTGAATGTCCCGTGACGAGGGTGTCTGCGTGATGGTGAATGCCCCGTGACGAGGGTGTGTGGGTGATGGTGAATGTCCCGTGACGAGGGTGTCTGCGTGATGGTGAATGCCCCGTGACGAGGGTGTGTGGGTGATGGTAATTGCCCCGTGACGAGGGTGTGTGGGTGATGGTGAATGTCCCGTGACGAGGGTGTCTGCGTGATGGTAATTGCCCCGTGACGAGGGTGTGTGGGTGATGGTGAATGTCCCGTGACGAGGGTGTCTGCGTGATGGTGAATGCCCCGTGACGAGGGTGTGTGCGTGGTGGTGAATGTCCCGTGACGAGGGTGTCTACGTGATGGTGAATGAGCCGTGACGAGGGTGTGTGGATGATGGTGAATGTCCCGTGACGAGGGTGTCTACGTGATGGTGAATGACCCTTGACGAGGGTGTGTGGATGATGGTGAATGCCCCGTGACGAGGGTGTGTGCGTGATGGTGAATGCCCCGTGACGAGGGTGTTGGCGTGATGGTGAATGTCCCGTGACGAGGGTGTTTCAATCTAAAGCAATGAGGTGCCAGCACCACATTCGTGGGCTTTCTCGGTGGTTCAACTTTGTCCCGGAGACGAAGCAAAACCTCGCAACAAACCGCGTCGGGCACCCGCGACGCCACCACGGGGGCAGAGTCGCCGTTCTCTCTCCGGTCACGCAGCCAGAACGACTACGGGGCAGCGCCACGGGGCGTCTCCGCCGCGCTGGGACGAGCGACTGCTCACGGAGCCGTCACCCATGACCCTGGCTATGACCCTGGCTGTGACCCTGGCTGTGACCCTGGCGGTGACCCTGGCTATGACCCTGGCTGTGACCCTGGCTGTGACCCTGGCTATGACCCTGGCTGTGACCCTGTCTGTGACCCTGGCTATGACCCTGGCTATGACCCTGGCTGTGACCCTGGCTATGACCCTGGCTGTGACCCTGGCTATGACCCTGGCTATGACCCTGGCTATGACCCTGGCTATGACCCTGGCTGCATCAGCTGCAGGAGCCAGACCAACGGGGACATCATCCGCACAGTCCGTGCCCCTATCACGTGTGGGTCTCATGACGCGAATTGGATATAACGCGAGGGACGCGTTGAGAAACGCAATGTTTTACAACAAATTGGATTGTAGCACGCTTGAATGGCTGGAGTATGTAGTGCACTGCGCTAACCACTGTCCCACCACTCCCGACAAACACGCATCTCCGATGAGCACAGTCGGCTACGTACGGTGCGACAGAAGTTCAACATACGGTACACACACACGCAGTGTAAATAGTCAAATTAACGTTAAAGTTGCATGTTTATATTAGTTTACACCAGATGAGAACTCGCTCAAGAGACCGGGACGAGTCCGATTTGCAACGGTGACCTGGCGCATTCGCCTGCTGCCAGTAGGGGGCAATGGTTGATCGTGCTGCTGATGCTCCTGCTGCTGCTGATGCTCCTGCTGCTGCTCCTGCTGCTGCTGCTCCTGCTCCTGCTGCTGATGCTGCTGCTGCTGATGCTGCTGATGCTCCTGCTGCTGCTCCTGCTGCTGATGCTGCTGCTGCTCCTGCTGCTGCTGCTCCTGCTCCTGCTGCTGATGCTGCTGCTGCTCCTGCTGCTACAGATGATGATGCTGCTGCTGATGCTGCTGCTGCTGCTGTGTATATCGTCCCAATTGAGTGGTTTGCGGTGCCAACTTTAGAACTGGTCGTACGGCTGCCTCGGAGTCGCATCATCGCACGCGGCGGCGGCGGCGGGATGCTGCTGGATACTTCTAGATGCTCCCCACGCGCCCCAGTCTTGTTCGACCTGCGAACGCATGTGACGCGTTATCGCGGACTGCGATTTACCCCGATGTTATATATTACTCATTATAACGCGATGTTTTGTATTCATAACGCGGTGTTCTTCGGGAACGCAACGCCACGTTGGGGGAGAAGACTGCGCCGTGTTGAATCTCTTTCACACCGCACGTCGCGTCCACCGTGCTCGCCGCAGGAGCGAGTTTCGCAACATCTGTGCGAATTCCTCAACCCTCGCCGCTTAACACGATGGATGAAGGAAGGTCCGGATACGTGATAGCAGGTGCATTCTTGCAAGTGCGACGTTTGGAAGGGTCCACCATGCAAAAGCAGCAGTTGCTTGAGTGGTCAGTGGGTTCCCGACAAATTATTGGGATAGCGAACTTCATGGCTCTCTTTTCCCCTCTGTACCATCCTACAAAAATACATTTATTTCACCCATGACTAATGTGTAAGATATTCTCGCAACATTTTTCACGTATGATATATTTTTTCAATAACATTGAAAATTGTAAAACATTAAAAAAATAAAAACTTTTATATCTAAAACTTTTTTAAACAAATTTCATATAATTAAATTACGAGCAACAATTGTCCATCTTACCTTCCAGAGTTTTTTTGCATTTCTCTCAGGGGAAATGAGGTGCCCAGGGTTTGCCTTGATCCCTGACAAGCATGCCGATATATGCCTTGTAGGCCTCACACATCTTAGCAGATGCTTCCACAGAGTACTTTTTCGCTCTTGTCTTGATAAATTGGCCGCAGACGCAGCAAAATGCGTCTGCCGGATGCGTTCAGCCCCTTAATGCCATCTCAGAAAAATGCAGATATGTATCCACTTAGGCAGCTGGAACTAAACTGAACTGGTGGGCTTAAGGCCCCTGTATTTAGAGTACGATTCATATTACTCGAAAGTTCTAGAATGTTCTAGAAGTTACTACAAGTTTACTCAGCACTGAATCTATCTGGAATGTTCTTGAAAATAGGTAAATTTCAAAATATCACTATCCTGGTCACAAAAGCAAAGTTTGTGGGGACTAATAGACATTTTCTGTACTTTTAAGGCATAAGCAAATTAGGAAATAACACTTACTACCCAGGAACAAAAAAAATAGTTACAAAGTGTATAATCCAGCCGTGACAAATTTACCACCCAAAAGTGCTCATGCATTTTTCTGCAGACATTCACACATTCGATCTTGTGTGTATGTTGAACTTCTTTTCCACCGTACGTAGCCAACCGTGCTAATCGGAGGTGCAGGGGAAAGGACAACAAACGTTTTGCACATCCCCACCTTGACCTCGGTCCCCCCAGCGAGGTGGAAATGTGACGACAAACGGGTCGCAATCGGAAAAAAAATGTGGGAGTTCAAATCCTGGCTCTGGAGGGGGGTAGACAGAGCCCATCCATCTTTCCTCTCGGGGGGCGAATAAAATAGGCACCACTTTCAAGTGGAAGTGACCACCAATCCATAGGATGCAACGGTGGTGGGATGTTAACTACCTGACGCCTGCTGCTGCATATTTGGAGTTGGCGGCGTTTCTCTCCCCGTGGTCGCGTGGATTTTTGTCTCCAGGTCCTCCGATTTTTTCCTCCACATTTAGAATCAGCATGCATTTAGAGTATTTGCCTGCGATACATTTCCACGTGATAAACCACTACGTTGAGCAATCATTTGTGGCCAGGTCGCTTCTGAAAAAGAGCTACATGGCTCAGTGGGCTTTACCTGGTAATATAAAAAATAGTTGAGTTTCATGCAGGATCAAAACTCCTGCTTAACATGGAACCAGAGTTGGCGCATTTCATGTGATTTGGTCACAGGCATATGCGGTCTATGTCAGCATAACAATCGATTTGATGTTTCGCTTCAGG